GCTGCGGCGCGGGGTCGGAGCCTGGGGCGCGGCTGCACGTGCCGGGCGTGCGCTCGTCGGGGTCGTTCCCGCGGTGGACGTTCCGCCCGAGGCAGGGGCGAGGACGGGGTCGTGGGCCGTCCGTGCGCTCGGAGACCCGTGCATCTGCTCAGGGAAGGCCCGAGAGGCTCTGCACGAGCGGGGTCGTGGTGGGGTCGCGGGGTCGTGGTCGGCTCGAAGGTGCCTCTCACGAGCTGGCAGTCACCGGGGCGGGTGCGGGGTGGCGCGACTTCCCGGCCAGGGTGGTGTGTTCAGCAAGTCAGAGCGACTGTGTTCAGGTGGAGGCACCATCCCACCCACACTAGGTGGGGTTTTGCCTTTTCTAAACGCCTTTATTGCAGTAGAGTTTGCACACCACACAACTCACTATTACATGAATATCCAGCAAACAGCAGCCTAAGAACTGCATTTCTTAGGTCTTTTCTCGCTCTAGAAAGGCTCGGGGCTCTCACAGTAGTGTCCTGGCTGCATTCCTCCATCCCAGACTCTGGAATACCACTGGGACCTCTCTGCCTCCTGACGGGCCGACATTGCCAAAGTCACAAAGCAGGACATACAGCATGTTAGGCGGCTGTGGTACTGGAGCAAGGGGCTGGGGGTCCTGGGCAGGATGGGGATGACACAGTTCAGACCCATGGGGTGAGGTGGAAGCAGGCGTGCAGCCATGTCAGCCAGGGGTGGGGGAGGACAGGTGGAGTTGGGGGTGGAGCAGACTGAGCTGGCCACTGTGGGATCTGGGCTTTTATGCTGAGAAGCTGGGAAGCCATTAGGGATTTTATGTGGAGGAGAGACTCAGTCTGAGTCGTGTTTAAGGTCCCTCTGGCTGCTGGGAGGAGAGTGGGGGGACTGGGAGGGCTGAGATGGCTGCAGGGAGGCCACTACAGTAACTTGGGTCACAGTGGATGGTGGCCTAGGCCTGGCAGTAGTAGCGTGGTCAGATTCTGGATGTTTAGGTAGAGCCATGCACGGATTTCCTAATGCGTTAGAGGTGGGTGTGTGAGAACAAGAGGACTCAGAAGTCTCCCAGAACTTGGACTGGGTGGCTGCAGGTGGGGAACGAACACCTGTTGAGCTCACGGGAGGCAGACAGATCTGCCAGGCCGGGGTCCAGGGCACAACCAGGGCTGGAGCCGTCTATTTGGAGTAGTCAGGTTTGGATGATATTTAAAGTGTTGAGGTCCTGGGGGTGAGAGTCGGTAGAGAAGAGCACTGAGCCCTGGCACTCCAATCTCAGAGGTCAGGGAGAAGGGCTGGAGGAGCAGGACAGCCAGTGAAGACAGGGCTTGGAGGGAGGGGGCTGTCATCTGGGTCACGGGAGATGAGGACTGAGAACAGACCCTGCACGTAGCCATGTGATCATGAAGGGGCAGAATTACAGCATTGTGATTTAATTGGCCTCTCCCTATTGATAGCCCTGGTTTTTAATAAGAGAAACTATTGATTGCATGAGTACATATCAACTAACAAGTGCACAGTTAGGAAGGTCTTCCACAGCATTTGCTTTTCTTTCTTTTTTTGGCGGCTAGCTGGTGCAGGGATCAAACCCTTGACCGTGTGTTATCAGCACCGTGCTCTAACTCACTGAGCCAACCGGCCAGCCCTACATTTGCTTTCCATATTTTTGTATAGATAATTGTTAGGTGATTAAGTACATAAGGTGGTATTATGCTAGGGTTAGGGTTAGGGCCTGAAAAAGAGATGGGCTTAAGCGTAAAATTACAATTTTGAAGTGGATTTCTAGTACTTGGGGGGCGTCATACTCATGGCTGCGTGCAGATTAAAGTTCTTGAATGGGCTTATTGTATATGTGTCTTAGAACTGAGTGCAGCAAAGTGAGCTCTTTGGAATAAACAGAGTAGTGGGCTATTTGTAGAAACATGAATATGGAGAGTTTGAATCTCCAGGAATTGGGGCATCTTGGAGTCTGACTGTGGGAAGAGTGAGGCCCTGGGTTGAATCCATGTGTTTGCGGGGTGGTGAAGCGACCCCTGCAGCGGCCAGGTTGTACAGGTGTCTGATTTCGTGTCATGGTGTGGGAAGCATTTGATTTTCATCCCAGTACAATTCACCCTTTCAAGAGCTGTTCACCAGTACCACTAAACTGAATTCACACACCAGATTCAGAACGTTGGATTTCTGCTGCTGCTTGACTCCAGCTCAGCAAGGTCTCAGTGAGTTCTTGTGGGCTACCCCCTTTTGTCTAGGTCCTCCTGCTCTCTCCCAGGACAGTGGTACCCAGGCTGGAGCTGGGCTTAAGAGGGAGCGAGTGGCAAGGGGAGGTGGGCAACATGGCAGCTGGCACCAGATGCCCCGCATTCTCTCGGGGGAGAGGTCTTTAATATCAAAACCTGTTCTTGAGGTTTCTGTTTGCCATTTTGAATATTTTGGGACTGGATTATTTTGGAGAACTATGTATGGGTATACCATAACGAGGGATTTCACCATCTTTTTTAACTCTTTGGGAATAGAAACTTCATTTTGTTTTTGTGCACAAGTGCTAAGTGTACATCTAGATGTATTTTTGTCTGTGCTGTTTCCAGCGTCCCAGAAGGCCCCCTCATGTCCCTTGCAGGCAACACTGGACCCCAGAGGTAATTGCTGTTCCAACTCACGTTGCTGTAGATCCACTTTGCCTATCCGTGAGCTCGTGTAACTGGAATCATTCTGTAAATACTGTATCTGGTAGAAGCGCCTTTTAACAAAATGTAAGTTTATTGTATGAAGTTAGTACATTCATGCCTGGAACATATTTTTGGGAGAAAGTTCAGTCTAAGATCAGGACTGCCCGTATGAGAATGCTTGCACATTTAGGTAAGTCACTGCAAATGGACACTGTTTTTGTTTTTAACCAACTTACCTGATAAGGTTGGGATTTTGAAGGTAAAACTGATCTGGAATCCTGAGAGGACCAGCACTGCATGTCATTTCCAGGTTAAATCACTGAGGATATCTGACCGCCCACATGTCTTATCACAAGTATAAAAGACGGGAGCCGCCCAAGCTATCTGTCCCGTGCCCTGGTCTTTGTGTACGTGTTTGGTGCAGGTAACAATGGTGGTCAGTTGAGGGAGTCCCTCCTGCTTCTGTGGTGCCTTGTGTGATTTTAGATGAGTAGCCTTCAGCAAGCCACCGAGAGGAGGGTCTGGTAGATGCCAGGCCCCGCAGAAGTCTTGTATTAAAGTCTGAGCAAATTGGAGTATTGTGTCAGAGGGTTTGATGGGTCAGTGGGTTTGATTGTGTTGAGTTTTGGTATAGCACTTTTGAGTCTTCATGACGGTTTTCATTACAGTTCTTAAAACATTTATGAATGAGATTTAAATCAAGCGTTTAAGGAATCCCTTAAGCATTAGGGACTCCAGAGTGCTGCGTGGGTGTCAGGGTCAGACGGGACCTCAGGAGCCTTTTGAATTGATGCTGGATCAACTGCTCAGATTCTGTGATTGCTCCTTCATGTTTAGAACAGGGGTAATGATCCATCGTTCCCACTGCTTCAGGGCAGGGTGACACCAAGAGAGCAGCGAACAGCGCCCTTGGGGCAGGACCAACACCAGGGGTGAGGCCCGGATGAGCGCTGTGGCTTTCCCCCTTTTTTTTCACTCAAAGGAAAAAAGACCATTTTTGTGGCTCTTTTGTGTCTGACAGGAGTAAAAATAGATGGATTAATAAAGTGAGTTCAATCTACCACAGAAAGTGTGTTCCAGTCAGGCCAAAAAGTGTTTCTCCAGCAAGCCCCTGCAGTGTTTAGGAAGAATGTCAGCATGAAAAGAAGAAAGCCTCATGTGAAGGACACCGCAGGGAACTCCTTGAGGACATGTTGAGAAAAGACGAAGACCCCCCAAGTCCTCCTGCCGCAGCACAGCGGTCCTCACCGTCTTACTTCTTGCCCCGTCTGCATGCAACATGGTCACAATCTTCAAGTTCTGTACGTTTCATATTCTATTTGACTTAACGTCTTATAACAAATATAAAGTAAGGTTCTGACTTGAGGAGTTTGGCTTTTGGTTTTATTAGTGATATTTAAAAGTAAAAAATTTCTCTGTGTAAAGTGGCTTAGAGCAGTGCTTTTTACTTATTTATTTTTGTCCTTTTTGAGACCAGCCACACCGCCATCCCTATATAGGATCTGAACCCGCGGTGGGAGCGCCGCCGCACTCTCCCGAGTACGCCACAGGCTCGGCCCAGAGCAGTGCTTTTTAAATCATTAGTGGTTCACAAAGTCAACTTAGTAGCTTCTGATCAGAAAAAAGAAAATGAGGAACTCAGAATGGCTTTCGTGAAGAGTGAGTCCAGTTTGGTGAACCTTTTGTTTTAGGTATGTACCCGTATTTAGTGAATCATATCACAGCATTGAGAAACATGGGCTGAGGGCGTGGTGCGGTCCTGGCCAGCGCAGGGTGAGCGGCTCCTGCCTCGGTCCACCTGGTCCACCTGTGGGCACCGTTAGCGCATCTGTGAGCTCTTGGGACATTATTCAATCTGTGCCAGTGGGAGCAGGCCCCCCACTGTGCCACCGCCGTCAAATGACCTTGGGCATACCAAGCTCCAGCATCCCTCTGTTGGGTGGCTGGAGGAGTAAATGAGATTATAAAAACGTTTTGGGAACGCTGAAGTGCCATGCGAGCGCATGGTCTCATGGAATTACAAGTTGAGAAGCAGTGATTGACAGTGCGGTGCATGCTGGCTTTGCATGGCAGGTAGAAGACAGCGACACAGTCCTGTCACGCTTTCTCACATGTCAGACCCGAGGTGGGGCAGTGAGAACAGCTTCTCGATGCTGCTACTGGCCTGCAGAGACCCTCTTCCTCTTCTGGAAGATCCTCCTTTCCTAGCTTAACTGCTTGGGAGTCGGTGTGCTGCTTCTGAGAGGGTGCTGCCCGAGGATCTGTGGGGTCAGAGTGCTGCTCAGGGAGAAGAATGTGTTTCAGTGAGCGGGGTGGTGGTGGGGGGGTGCTCTTGGGAGTGTTTCCCAAAGCAGTTAAGGATGGTTGTCCTGGGGCATCAAGTTCTTCTATTCAAGGACTGGATGGAAGTCTCTGAAGGCTGTTGGGCTTTGTCCCAGATGGGAGCCTGTCACTCCTGGATTCTCCCACCCCCAGGGTGGCCAAGGGCTGGGGGGAACCAGCCACTCTGCTGTTTGGGGGTCCAGAAACATTTGTTGAATGGACAGAGATGGCATGTGACAGCCGTCTCTAATGCATGGTGTGTAGTGTGGATCATTTTAAATATGTGTCATTAAAATTAAGATGCATTCGAAGGAGTTTCATGGTGGAACTGCTTATAAGTCAAATAGCCATTTTTATAATCAGCTAATTTGCTTTGAAGGTCTGTGTTGGTGTTTATCCAGGCTCCTTATTAAATTGGTGCCTGGGTCACTTGCTGACCAGGAGCAGACCTGAGTGTGCACACAGTAGGGCAGACACAAGAATATTTGCAGGAAAGGTCATCTGGAGACCAGGCATTCCAGGCGGAGGAGAGGCACCAAGGTTCAGTTTGTTCAGGAAGCAAAGTCAGTGGGGTCAGGGGTCACAGTGAGAATGGTGGGGGACAAGGCCAGGTGGGACCTGTGGCTGGGCTTTCTTCTGAGTGCGCAGAAGGCTCTAGGGACCCCCTGTGAGGAGTGCCCATCCCATCTGCATGTAAGGGAGAAGCTACGGGTCCAGTGCTGGCAGTGTGGATGACAGGGCAGGCAGGATGGGCCGGTGCCTGGGCAAGGAGAGATTCAGGAAGCCTCCTGGGTTTGGCTCATCCTTGGCGAGCAGCAGGTGGTCCTGAGATGGGCAGGACCTCTTTCTGGGAGAGTATCTGGGGCAGAGGCGGGGTGGGCGGGAGGATGGGCCAACCCAAGACTTGCCAGCTGTTGGGCCTGCTGTGAGAGGTCAGCCACTTTCTCAGGTGACCCACACCGCTGTGTCAGGGCCTCTCCTCTCCACTGTGGCCACAGTCTCCCCACCACTGCTCTGACTGCTGGTTGGGACCCTGCTTGTGCCAGGATGTGAGTGACCCAAGTCTTCCAGTACCCAGGACACACTGGCGATTTGGGCAGCCCTGGCAGTCCTGCGTGGTGGCATTGGTCAGGCTGGAACAGGACAGCAAGGCCCATCTTAGGGCTGGTGTCCAGGCACTGAGCAGTCAGCGTCTGCTGTCATTACTGGAGAAAAGGAGGAAAACACATTTGTCATTTATTTTATTTTATTTTATTTATTTTTAATGTTTTTAAAAGATGACCAGTAAGGGGATCTTAACCCTTGACTTGGTGTTGTCAGCACCACACTCTCCCAACTGAGCCATGGGCCAGCCCTCACGTTTGTCATTAAAATGTTGGAATGGGGCCGGCCTGGTGGCGCACTCGGTAGAGTGTGGTGCTTGGGAGCGCGGTGGTGCTCCCGTCGAGGGTTCGGATCCCATATAGAGACCGGTCCGCTCACTGGTTGAGCGCGGTGCGGGCGCGACACTGAGGGTTGCGATCCCGTTGCCGGTTGTGGTACGGGCACGACACTGAGGGTTGCGATCCCGTTACCGGTCACGAAAAAAGACAAAAAGGAAGAAAAAAAAAAAAAAAAAATGTTGGAATGGGGCCGGCCCCATGGCGCACTCAGGAGAGTGCAGCGCTGGGAGTGCAGTGAAGCTCCCACCGCGGGTTCGGATCTTACATAGGACTGGCCAGTGCACTCACGTGCGGGTGACACCACACCAAGGGTTGTGATCCCCTTACCGGTCACGAAAAAGACAAAAAACAAAAAAACACACACACACACACACACAAACACACACACACACACACACACACACACACGTTGGAATGGTTCTGAGAGGTAATTTCTTGTTTAAATGCAATGTGACCCTGAGGTTTTGCTCTGGAGAGAGAACTCTTGGGAGGCTGCTTCCTGCTGTCCACATATGCTGCCCAATGCCCTCTACTCCATCCGAGGCTGCCTCCCTGCCTCCTGGGATCTCACTAGACGCCAGGCCCTTCTCCTTCATGCCCTGTGGTCCAGGGTATGTGCCCCACCGCCGCCTGGAGTTCACCTCCCAGGAGGCCCTCTGTGGCCTCCTCCCTGCAAGCAGAGTGGGAGCCTGGTGGAGAAGCCTCAGGCTGTGGCAGAGCCACTGTTAATAGAAAAGGAAGAAGGATGTGGGGGTGGGGGAGGCAGGTGTGGCGGGTGATGCTGGGAAGGGGCTGGTCTGAGTGAGGCACCCTGGTGGGGGCTTGCTGAGGCCTGGAAGGCGGCTGTCGTGCTCACTGAGCCGTAGTTTTCACGTTCGTAGTAGAAGATTGGACCAGATTGTTTCCACATGTCCCCAAAGCTCTGAAATTCTGCTTCTCATATTCTTGACCACAGGTCAGTTGGTAAGCCGGGTCCCCACCGCCTGCCTGCTGGTGATCCCCATTGCCAGGTCTTCTGGAATGGAGGCATGACATCATCTGTGCTCTTCCTTAGGGCTTTGCAGTTCGTGGGGGTCCCGGCTCTCATGGCTGCAGCTGGCGTGACCCCCCCTGGCTCCCTAGACCTGCTGCAGCCCGGCTTCTCCAAGACCCTCCTGGGGACTAAGCTGGAGGCCAAGTACCTGTGCTCTGCCTGCAGGAACGTTCTTCGGAGGCCCTTCCAGGCCCAGTGTGGCCACCGGTACTGTTCCTTTTGCCTGACCAGCATCCTCAGGTGTGTATGGCCAGTGGGCTGGGGGTGGGGGGACAGGGAGGAGGTGCTGGCTCTAGCCCTGCCATGTCCAGCCTGGTGGCTCCTGGCGAACTCAGTACAGATGAGATGTGCTTCACGTATAAATACTCCCTGGATTTTGGAGGCTTGGTGCAAAGAATGTAAAATTAGTAATTTAAAAGTATTGATCACATGTCGAAGTAGCACTTTGGATATAGGTTAAATACAGTATGTTGTTAAAATTAATCTCACCTGTTTTCACTGTTTCTAACGTGAGTACTAGAAAGTTTAAAGTGACATTTGTGGCTGCTCTAGATAATCAAGATGAGCCTCATCCCTGCGTGGTGACGGTCAGCGTCTGGTTTGAGAGGCATGAGGCTCCCTGCATACCATTGCAGGCTGGTCCTGTAGGGAGACTGGGAAAGCCCCTGTGTGTTGGAGCATTTGTCTTTGGGTGAGCTCTTCAGCAAGAGCACCTTGTTCACAGATGGGAAGGATGACTTGGCCTCAGAGGTTTAAGCCTTAGATACCCGTTTTAGGATTCGAATCTTCTCATCTATTTTAAATCTTTAATATATGCTTGTTCTCATTAAAGGTAGAGAATTTGAAGAAATTGAGGCGTGCGGTTGTGTTTCTAGACCGAGGCAGAAGGTGCTTGCTTATTCTTTGTGGGAGGTTTCACAATGGGATTTTTTTTTTGCCCTTTTCCCCTAGCTCCGGGCCTCAGAATTGTGCTGCCTGTGTGCACGAGGGCATATATGAAGAAGGCATTTCTATTTTAGAAAGCGGTTCGGTAAGTAAAATGCTTTGAAGCTAAAAATGTCAAAGCGAACACAAAATGTTTTGGAATTTCCTTTAACACTGATGGCAGAATGAAATTTCAGAAACTAGAAGTTGCCCCTTAGCAGACTCGGTGACGTTTAGGGTTTAGAAAGGTTGGTGTTGAGAGGTGAGTTAGTCCTCAGAGAGTCATCCTCCGCTTCTAGGGCCGGCCCAGGAAGGTGACATGGTGTTGGTTTGGACGAATGGCCACGCGCTCATCGATTGCACCTTACAAGCACTGGGGTGGCTGGGAGGAGATTTAACTGGAGGGCTGTTCCTCTCCCCAGGCTTTCCCAGATAATGCTGCCCGAAGGGAGGTGGAGAGCCTGCCAGCCGTCTGTCCCAATGATGGGTGTACCTGGAAGGGGACCCTGAAAGAATATGAGGTAAAGACGGGCGTCCCCGTGCTGGCATGGGCTGCTCCTAGGAACCTGCGTGTGGCTTGGTGGCTGAAGCATCAGCAGTCAGTATTCCACTCTCCCAGAGCAGTTATGACTTGAGCCTGCACCTTACTCTTACTGTGACTGAAGCCTGTCTGTTGTCTCTGGAGGAGGAGATGTAGCTGCTATTTAGAATATATCCATTTAGGGCCGGCCCCGCGGCGCACTCGGGAGAGTGCGGTGCTGGGAGCGCAGCAACGCTCCCGCTGCAGGTTTGGATCCTATATAGGAGTGGCCGGTACACTCACTGGCTGAGCGTGGTGCGGGTGACACCACACCAAGGGTTGTGATCCCCTTACCGGTCACGAAAAAGACAAAAAAAAAAAAAAAAAAAAGAATATGTCCATTTAGAAACTCAGACCTGCACCATGGAGCCTGGGTCATGTGACCTTGGGGGAGATACTTACCCTTTCTGTGCCTCAGTTTCCTTGTCAGTGGGGGTGCAGTACCCCGCCATTGTGGGGTAGCAGTGCAGATTGGAGGTGCCCATGTGTGTGAGGACCTAGCACCATGTAGCCCTGAGCTAGTATGTTCACCTCGGCAGTGGCATTTCCTGGTCACGAAGGACAGATCAGTTCTGCATTGGAAACTGTGTCTTTCAAGTTTGGTGCGATTCTCTGTTGTGTCTCATGTGGCCGCAAGGGATTTCTTACTTTGGGTTGTGTTGACACTGGAAATCACACAGCTAGTGGCCACAGAAGGGCTCTGGCCAGTGACAGAGGCAGTGGCTGGCGCCTGATTCATTGTGCCTTGTCTCTCTGTGCCAGGCAAAGTGGGCTTGCGGTCCTGCACAGGCACGTTGGGATTTCACTGTGGCCCTCCCGTCACTGTTAGGCATATGTCAACTAAACCTGCAGCTTAGAGGCTGAGAGGTGCAAGCACTAGTCTGAGCCGCTGCAGCTCACCCAGTTATGCAGAGTCTTCTTCCACATCATAATAAACGCCCTTTAAAAAGCTGTGTCTCAGACAGCCACCTATAGAGGTTTGCTCATGGTAGCAGCACTGTTCACGACAGCCAAAGGTAGAAACAGCTCACATCCACCCATGGATGATGGATGAACACAGAGTGGTCCATTCACACAATGGAGTATTATTCAGCCTTAAAAAGCATGGAAATTCTGACACATGCTGCAGCGTGGATGAACCTTGAAGATGTTAAGTAAGTGAAAAAAGCCAGACACAGATGGACAGGTCCTGTGTGGTTTCACTTATATGGGGACCCTAGAGTAGTCAAATCCATACAGACAGAATGTAGAATGGTGGTTGCCAGGGGCCTGGGAGGGGTGAGGGTCCTTGTTTGGTTGGCACAGAGCAGTAGATTGGGGTCTCAAAGCAGGCAGTGCCATGGTGCCATCCAGACCATTCTTGGGTTGTGATGCTGTAAAGGACTATTTGCTCAGAACTCTGGCTTTCTTCTGCATAGGGGGGCTCCCAGCACAGGGCTGCCAAGGCCCACAGAGAAGCCTCCCTGCCCAGGCAGTGGGCTGGCAGGGTCTCTGAGTCAGACCCTGGGAAATTGCCTGACAGGTTTGGAAATGGGATCCTGAATTCCTGATGGGTTTCTCTTGCTCCCTACACTGGGTGCCTGGCCATACTTTCCTCCTTTTGGCTACCTCTGACTGTGCGGTGTGAAACTTGCCAGGCTCCTGGGGCCGAGCTGCACTTGTGGCTTTCGTGGGTGATGTGCACCCCGCATCCTCCTCAGCCAGAGAGGCCTGCAGCTGGTTATTGTCCACTGCTAAAGAGGAGGGGCCCCAGGTGGGGAGGGGAGTTGGCCCCCTGAGGAGATGATTTGGGTCTCTCCTGGGAGGGTGGGGGTGCCCGGTGGTTGCAGGGGGCAATGTGGGCTTGGAGTGGGAGTGCCAGGCTACTCTTTGAGGGGACTGAGAGACCCCCTGGGAGACAGGTGGAATAACAGTCCCCAGCTCTGGGCTCCTGTTTCCTTTGGGATCTCTGATGCCTTCAGGCCTGTGGTACTCAAGGTTGGCGGCTGTGTGGGCCTCCGGCTGACGGCCAGGGACTGCAGCCAGCCCATGGGCTTGGGCGCCAGGCAGCCCTGCAGGCATGCAGGCTGGAAAGTCCCTGGCTGCACCCTTTGAGATCTCCGGAAAGTCCCTGAGAGGAGTCGGGTTTGGTCATGTGGAAGGGGCGGGACTGCTCTGGGACAGCTCAGCCGTGGCCTTTGATTTTGTTGATAAGACCTCTTGCTGGCTGTAAATGTCACAGGCGGGGACAGAGATCAAGTCCTGTACATAGCGTGGAGCCACCTCTGCGTAGGGTAGCCCTGACTCTCATCACAGGAGGCAGCAGCCGTTTGCTCCTGGGTTGCTCAGACATGCTGCCTGTTGGGGTGTTACTGTGCAAACTGATACTGAAGCTGAAGCTTTTTTTCCTTGATAGTCTGAGTTATTTGAAAAGTGTGGGAAGACGGGAGAAAATCCTGTTTAGTTTTTGAATACGTTTTTCCTTTGCAATGATGCCTTTGCTTCTAATAACTGAATGAGTTTAAAGCTCCAGTTCAGTTAAAATGTTTATGGAGCACCCACTGAGTGCTGGCAGTAGCGCTGAATCCACGTTACTGGCAGCCACAGGTGCTTAGCGGAGGGTCCCTGGGTGGGAGGCTTGCCAGAGAGGAGACCGGTTAGCACATGTGAGCGAATGAAAGATCAGGAACAGTCATGTAGACTTGGATGCATTGCACATTCTGGTGAAATTCAGGGACACAACGACTGTACAGACTGTCCCAGCTTACGATGGTTCAGCTTAGGATTTTCCCACTTTACGGTGGAGTGAGAACAAGGCTCATTCAGCAGAAACCATGTTCGAGCACCCAGACGACTTTCCTGTTTCTCACTTGTAGTGCAGTAGTCAGTCAATTACATGAGATGTTCAGCACTTTAAAGTGGGCTCTGTGTGAGGTGGTTTTGCACAAGTGTGAAGGTAGGAGTTCTGAGCACATTTAAGGAAGGCCAGGCTAAGCTACGATGTTCGGTACGTTACAGGTATTGAAAGCATGTTTGACTTATGATATTTTCAACTATGATAGCTTTATTGGGATGTAAGCCCATCATGAGTTGAGGAGCATCTGTATTTGCTTAAAATATTTAGCTCGAATTCTGGTTGAATAAATATTGATGTTTCTGAAAAGTGTCTGCTGGGGTGGGGAGAAGCTTGAGCTTTGTTTTGGTTATATAAGGCAGTGGCGCAGATGTGTCTGCCACTGCATAACTCTGGGTTCTACTTGGAACTTCAAGAACAAATGCAAGAGAAAGGTTTTATTATTGAAATTTCTTTTTTTTTTTTTGAAGATGATCGGTAAGCGGATCTTAACCCTTGACTTGGTGTTGTCAGCACCACGCCCTCCCAAGTGAGCTGACCGGCCATCCCTATATAGGGATCCGAACCCGTGGCCTTGGTGTTATCAGCGCCACACTCTCCCATGTCCCACGTGAGCCACGGGCCAGCCCTGTTATTGAAATTTCAAATGTACAGCAAGTTTGAGCAGCTAGTGGTATAGGCAGAGAGCTAAGGTCAGTGTGATGTTCTGTGTGCCCCACCACCTGCAGCAGTGATGCATGTGTAGTTTTCTTTCAGCTATACTTCCTGCCCTCATATTTTACCTCTTCTGGATTATTTTAAGGCAAATGCAAAGCATTGTGTCATTTTACCCATGAGTATTTCATTACACTTTAAAGAACAGTCTTTTAGTTAAATTAAACTATTTATGCTTTAGTTTCTATGTTTTATAAACCGTTATAGTTTCTTAGGCTCCTCCATGGTTCAGTCTGATGATTGTTTATGACATGCTCAGTGAGGCCGAGGGCCAGACGCCTGCCCATTGGTGGGTAGCGAGTCCCAGGTGATGTCGGGTTTCAGGAGGTTGGCTCCGTGAGCAGGTTATGCTCAGGCTCAGAGTTGGAGAGGTCTTGGAGGGCTGGCCCAGGTGCCCTGTGTGGGTGCCTTTGGAAGGCTGCCATGACTGTGGAAGAAGGTTTAGAGGGAATGTTCCCTGGGGAGGTTGAATGGAAGTCGGCCTGGGTGCCCACACTGTCGGGAGCAGGGTCTCCCGTCTCCTGCAACAGCATCAAGAGGCTTTGTGCAGCAGTTGCAGGTCCTGGTGCTTCCTGAGTGGCTGGCCTGGGATACTGCCCTTTAAGGCCAGGAACACATGGCAGTATCTGGGACGCCTCTGTGATGTCAACAGGGAGTCTTGTTGGGAACCCTGTGCTGCTTCCGGCGGGCATGCCGCTGCTCCCAATCACCCCATCTGCCCATGTTGGCCACTCAGTGGAGTCCCCTGTAGGCTCAGGCATGAGGTTGGGGGGATGACGGGGAGCTCATCTGGGAGGTGTGGATGCTGCTTGGACAGCACCTCTTAAGTCTCCATAAGGCCACTCTCAGGAATTCACCCTCTGCATCCCACTTGCTCCTGAGTGGACAGACCCTGGGAGCGTGTTGGTGTGCATTCTCACAGCCATTGGACCATGCAGAGAGAGAATGTGTCTGCACTGGCTGGGAGCCCTGAGGTCCCACCCCTTTGGCTTGACATAGTTGGTCCTGGTGACCCCTGAGCTGTCCCAGCTGTGGAGAGCACTGATGCTTAGACTGCAGCTCAAATGCCTACTGAGCCCATCCCCAAGAAAAGGGTGTGTCCTGTGAGCCCTAAAGACAACAGCTTGTCTAGAGACCCGCCCCCTTCCCAGAGCTTGAAAGACGGTCCCTCATATACCCATAGTGACCTTTCCGCAGGGCCATGGGGGGATACTGAGCTGTTGTCCCCATCTTCATGGAGCTGCTGCAGTCAGCCTCTCAGTCTCCTGCTGTGGACCACCACGGCCCCTCACAGTGCGTCTTCCTCCCCTCCTATCAGGGGACTCCTTTGTCTGGGATGTCTGTTGGCACACAAAATATGCTCTAGATTTCCCATCTCAAAACTAAACATTATGGGCCGGCCCGGTGGTGCACTTGGTAGAGTGCGGCGCTTGGGAGTGCTTCTCTGCCTGAATGGCAGATGGTGAACACACATTCAGAGTAGGGGTGAGGGGGTGGGAAAAAGTGCAAATAAGCGGCCTGGAGAAGAGTTCCTTGAAACTGGCAGGAAAATGCATTTTGACAAGGAGAGCTGGAATTTGGTGGCTGACAGGGGAAAGCTCTCCAGCAGCACAGGAATGGGATGGGGCGGGGTGGGGGGGAGGCTACCACAGGCACTCAAAGAAGTTGAGACTGTCAACATGCAGACCTTTTCCTATTACAGGCCTTTTTCTTCTTCTCTCTATTTTTTTTTTTAACTTTCTGGGGTGTTCCTTTCTTAAAGAGAGCAGGGAAAGGAGGTGGTTTATCAAGTCCAGTTCTCATTTTGCATCAGAGAGTAGTATTGATTTTCCACCCATGACTGCTGAAAATTAGAATTTCTTCATGAAGCTTGGCTCTTTCCTTGCGTAATAACTTCGTATAGCATACATTATACGAAGTTATACGATGACGACGGGGCCAAGATTGGCAGGATCACGTCCTAGCACTGACTACACTGTGCTTTTGGTCTTCAGAGAATGTGCACAGCCTGCTTTTCCCATCAGGAGCTGACGTGTGTGGTGGGGACCCTCCAGCCCCTGGCAGCGACTGTGCACACAGCGGTTTCACACGGAGAATGCGGGGGGAGGGGGGCCTGGGTGATATGGCACCATCTGAGACCAGCTGCAGCAGAGCGTCCCCTTGGCTCATCTGGGCAGGGAGGGGGCAGTGTGCTTTGGCATCTGTGAGGGGAGAGAACAGGATGCACTAGCCTCTCCCTCCCACCCTCTGACCTGTGAGAGCCACAGAGTCCGCCTCCAGGGCAGTTGGGGAGGATGGCACACAGGGGCCATCGCACAGATACAGAGCCACCCCTACATGTGCTGTGGTGTCAAGGGGCAATGCTGGGGCTGCCCAGTGTGTCCTGTGCTCCCTGTTGACACCTTCTCTTGTTGCCAGAGCTGCCACGAAGGACACTGCCCCTTCATGCTGACCGAGTGCCCTGCGTGCAAAGGCCTGGTCCGCCTCAGTGAGAGGGAGCGCCACTCGGAGCACGAGTGCCCGGAAAGAAGCCTGAGCTGCCGGCACTGCCGGGCACCCTGCTGCTGGGCAGACATGAAGGTGTGTGGGCAGGGCGCTGAGCTGGAGAGTCAGTGCCCGTGGTCAGGGCTGGTCTGGCTCCTTTGTGCTTGTGTCCACCGCCTCAGCCCTTTCTTTGCAGCCAAGAGGGTAGGAGGTCCTTGATGAAGCCAGTAGAAAGCGCTCCATTTCAGAAAAGCACGGGCACACCAGGTAGAGAAGGGCGTGTGATGCTCAGGTCACTGGCACTCTGCAGGCCTATGCTCCCCTGACTGCCACTGAACAAACCTCACTTACTGTCTTCTCATCCCAGAGGTGCTCAGAATGTGTCTCTAAAGGGCCCAAGCTGTAACACCACATCTGAGCCGTGGCAGCCGTTGCTCACCGTCACCTGCTGGCTGTGTCCATGATCCCCATTGTCCCTCAGTGTTTTCTGTGGTGATCAGGATCAAAATGGGGTCCTTCATGCATCACTGAAATGTCTGGGGAGCCCCTCCATCTCTTATAGTCCCCTGTGAACCTCCTTCTGTGCTGTGCCGTGTGTCCGTCCATCCAGTCTCACCTGCTCTTCTGCTGACTCATGCCCAGGGTTGGTCCTGTGTTCCTCTCTCCCCTCTCCCCGACAACTATGAAGGGGACAGGCCTGGCTCAGGCCCACCGCAGCAGCACATCAGGGGTCTCTTGGAGATGTCCTGGGTGCCTGATGGGCGCATGCGAGGCCAGCCCGGTCCATCTGCTAGAAAGTCCCGCCTGCCTGGCACTTCCCACCTAGAGCGGATGTTCTCCATCCTCATCTGGACACAGTCTTCCCAGGGTTGCTAATTGGTGGCACTCTCTTTTTAAATCATCCCTGATGGCCTTGTCTTTCTGGTGTTGCTCTGGAGGCTAGCAGAACAAAGAAGAAAGGTTAAACACCTCTGAAGCTCCTGCGGGATCCCACCCAGGGTTGAGTGCCATCTCAGGAGGGTCAGAAGGTGACCAGAGCATTTCTGTGGCCCCGCGGGTGCTGGCCACTGAGCGTTGTGGGCACCCCCTCCTCACCCACAGCCCCATGCCCATTGTTGGCGTCCACACCTAACATTCCTGACTGCTTCTCTTTAAGGCACACCACGAAGTCTGCCCCAAGTTCCCCTTGACTTGTGAAGGCTGTGGCAAGAAGAAGATCTCTCGGGAAAAGGTAGGTTGTGTCCTCACACCTCTGAGGACCACAGGGACAGGGCCTGAGTGCTGGCAGTGAGGGTCCCATAGTGCATGGTGTGGGGTAGGTATGACCTGGCGCCCAAAGGAACAGTGGCCCAAAGCTTCCATGTCTCAGGGTCACGAGATGGCATGATGTGTTCAGGCATGTTGGCTACTCTTCTGAGCATGCCAGTGGCCAGGTGGCTGAGCCTAGAACCCTTTTCTTTAACCTCCAACATACATTGTTATTTACTTTTTGGACAGGCCATTTAAACCTTCAAGTTGTCGTTGCCCTACACATGCCACTTAGGAGAAGTGCTGGTGTTACCCTTGAAGCTTGGTATTTGCAGCAAGTGATCTGGGGTGGAGGGTCTGTTGCCAAAGCAATAGAGCATCGATGCCTTGGGACAGGGTCTTGTTCCCTCACATCCCTAGTTCTGTAAGGAAAGTAGCTTCTTACACTGGGGTGAGTTAACTGCTCCAATGACACCTTTGGGAAAGGAGGTTGGGAGGTAACGTGGAAACATATTTTCTCACCCTCTGACCTTCTTGGACTGGAAGGGGCAAAGGTGGCTCACCCAGAGAGGCTGCAGCCACAGGAGGGGATGCAGTGTGTGCCCACGTGCTAGAGGTCAGGTTGACGTCTGCAGTTGTTGGTCCGTGCCTGGCGGCAGTGTGGCACTTTCTAAGCATGTGCCCATTGGCCTGTTTGGTTTGTTTCCATTTAAATAAGGGTCACAGCTCGAGTCCTGGGATGGGCAAGGCCGACGGACAGGGAGTCTCTCCTCCCCAGTACAGGGTCTGTCAAGTGTCACGCACTGTGGATTTGGCTGAGCGAGCGCTTCCTCGGGTATGGTTTGACCTTCCCTGGAGGCTAGAGCTTGCTCTCGAAGCCCAATGTGAGGGTCACCTCTGTCTTTTGATGGGAATGTGGAAGAGGGGCTGCGGCTGACATTACACCCCCTTTGGAGGCCGGGACACCAGCTCGATGTCCCACTGCTGTGAGGCTAAGCCTGGTCACGGTTGCCGGTGCTGTCCCTGCTGGGCCATGCTGGAGCTGATCCACATGGGCGTCCTTGGCCTCGTGCCCTCATCTGCATCGGCTCTTGGGTTGTCCCGGGATGGTTTGTACTGAGAGGTCACAAGTTTACTCTTTCCCTGTGGTTTTCTATTTTCAGAGGGAAAGGCGGGTTCCCCAGGCAGCCCGGGGTGTCCAGTGGGCTTTGTTCCCGCCCTCCCCCCACCAAAAGCTGAGTGCGTTTTAATCTACTACGTCTTTATTTTGGTGCTTACGGGCCTCACCTGCAGCCCGAGGGGACCTTCCAGACACCCCTCACCTCTGGAGCTGCCAGAGCCGATGCCACCTGCCCCTCTGGACGTAGGGACTGTGGTCTCAGTGCCAGGTGTTCCTGTGGCCGTTGGTGCTCCTAGTCCCTTCAGAGGACAGAGCTAAGGATGTGTCCACACTGATATTTTTAGTTTATGTGTAACACTCAGGGATTTCTTTTTTAATTTTGTATTTGTATTTCTTCTATGCTGAGAATCTTGGTTCCTGTCAACATTACCGTGCTAACTTACTTGCTTTATTCTGTACGTATTGTAGGCTTAAAGTCAAAATAGTAATATTATTTACAATAAGACCACGGAATAAAGTTTATGATTTCTTTGAAGTTCTTTTTGTCTTTGGAAGAATGTCTTACTTCCAAAGATGAATGGTGTAGCTGCTATGTTCTGAGGTCAGCTGGAATAAATTTTTCTGTGTGTTTATGTCACTAACTGTATACCAGTTAGTTCATTTGCTTCAGGTTTTTTGTTAAAGTTTAGGGATTTTTTTCTTTTTGATTTACTTTCGTTCTTTGATTATGTAAGACATTTACATAATTCCAGAGTCAACACTATGGCAAGTTTGCTTGGAGCAGCCTCACTCTGGTCCTGTCTCATCATCTCAGGCCGCCTCCCCCACATGTTTTGTGGGGAGCTGTTCTGCCAACCTCAGCATGCCTGGGGGGCTTGGGTCAGGCTTCTCACCCTCATTTCTTTGGACACATGCAGGGCTGAGCTGGGTGTGGGATGTTGCATGTTGGGAGCTGCTGGTTCTTTGAATGCTGGTCTGTGGGCTCACTGGACCAGCTAAGAAGCCAGTGGATGGCCACCGTTCCCTGGTTCCCAGTCTTTGATAACGTGTCTGTCCATTCATGAGGAGGATGATAACTGTAGGGAAAGGTTATTTAGTATTTGCTGGGGGTGATCCTTCTTCAGCCCTTAAAGGAACCCTAGGGGAATCATTTGCCAGATGAGGAAACTGAGGCTCGAGGCGGCCAGACACCCAGCTGCGGTCTCTGTGGCCCTGGCTGTGGGGCAGTGTGGTGGCGCCTGGAGCTCCTTTCATTCTCCAGCAGTGCTTTGCCCCCGCACTGCCCTCCCCTTGGCAGGAACGCCCCATGGCAGCATGCAGCAGGCAGTTTCTCGGCCCCTTTTTGTGAGCCTTCTGTAGTGGAGATGTCCAGGCCTGGATGGAGTGCGAGAGCCCCGTGAGAACTGGCCCTGAGGCCACAAGGGGCCGGTGCTGGTTCTGCTCCGTTCTTGCCTCCTTTCCTCCCAGAACCAGTGCTTCATCTGGAAATACTTTAGCGACCGCAGGGGTCCTTACGTTATTTTAAGAGGAAATACATCGTGGATTCATACTATTTCTATTTCGGATTTTTACCTAACTTTTGTATTTATATTTATTTTTTTTGCAGAAAATCTTAGTTCCTGATGACATTAACCTGCTACTTTGTTTTATTCTACTATAGCTGAATGACTCTTCATAGTATTAATTATTGTAATGACAATAATCAACTGTCAATAACTTCATAATAACAGTACTGAAATTAGCACTAACTATATGAGTAACTAATTGTGTGATGTAATTTTCTATCTAGTTCCTTTTGCTTTTAGAGTCTGTACAACCAAATTGCTGTGTTTTAAAGTCACTTGTAGTTTTGCTGTGACAAGCTGCCATTTCAGTAGACCATTAAGCTGCATCTGTTAAATTTCAATTTTGAGTTTCAAAGATTGCTCTTTTTAAAAAAGTGCTTTAAGGAGAGACTTTGTTTTTGTTGATAACCACAACATAAAAACATCTAAGGCACAGAGGAACAACTGCCTTTTTGCAGGAGTCCCGGACAGTGCAGCCACTACTCTCCATCTTAAGAGTCAAGTCTTCCTCTAAGCAGAATCCCCAGAATTCAGCTTTTCTGGGATGTTCACGCAGCTACCAAACTTCTCAGGAATGCAAATAACTACAAAAAATTACATTTATAAACTAAATCCTCTGTTTCTGGAATTACTATGTCCTTTCATAGACAGAAGAACACTGTTTAAAATTCAAAAGGTTCAAGCCTGAGGGTCCGGCCCGTGGCTCACTTGGGAGAGTGCGGTGCTGATAACACCAGGGCTATGGGTTTGGATCCTATATAGGGATGGCCGGTGCACTCACTGGCTGAGCGCGGTGCGGCCGGTCTCAAAAAGGACAAAAAAAAAAAGTCCTTTAGTTCTGTAAAGTAGTTGCATGGCACCAAAGTGAAAGCTGCAGAAAAGGTTTGTCCTGAGAAGTGTGTCGCTGGGTCCCCTTCGGGCTCTGCCACACCCCTCGGCAGGGAGACGTGCTGGTCCCCAGACTTACCAGCAGAGGGGGTGTTAGCCTTGGGTTTTCGCCAGTGGGATGTGAGAAGTGCCTGGGACAGTTTCAGTTTGCATTTCTCAAATTGTGAATGGGGTGACTCTTGTTTACCCAAGGCTCACTTGCATTTCTCCTGCTGGGGAGCGTCTGTCTGGCTCCCGCCCATTCCTCAGTGGGGTTGTTGGCCGTTCCTTTCTCAAATGTCTGGAACTCTCTGTGTATAGGGATACAGCGGAAGTCAACTGTCATTTTGCTTTATGTAAGGATGTTTCTCAGTTTTTTCCTTCGTTTCTGGAGGGCACTGTTCGCAGTTTTTCTGTTGAGTCAGCATTAGGACCACTCCCCACGCCAGGCATGGGGGAATCCCGGGGTTCCTTCTGGAACATGCAGGTGTGACTCTAGTGTCTGGTGTTCTGGCCCGCTTGCCACATCGCCTGGGAGCTGGAGAGGCAAGGGCCGCGATCAGCTTTCTTCATCCGGCTGTTCCTCATCCTCACACCCATTGTTAAAACACTAGTCTCTTCTTCCTTCCGTGATTCGAGATGCTGCCTAGTTGTATGCACAGTGTCTGTGTGCAGTGGGGCCTCTCCCGTGGTCCACCAGTGTTGTCCAGCAACAGCACGTGCAAAGGCTTGTGCCAGGGACAGGGCTCCTCATTCCTCTCTGGGCTTTGACTCCAGAAATCGACCCCAGGGCCTCCACCCCCCAGGTCCTGTGCACAGGGCTGCATTCTGTGTGGCAGACTTCCCCGCAGACGTGAACTGGGTCCACAGGCATCCTGCGGTGCTAGCCCACCTCGGTCACGGCAGAGCATGTGGCAAGTGCGTGTGCATGTGACTTTGGACATGGGTTGTCAGGTTTCACTCAGCATGAGAATGTAGAGGCCACTGGGTGTAGCTGATGATCCTTCGACTAAGTTCTGGTCTGGTCAGGGCTGAAGTGGCACTTGTGACCTGACCTGTCCCTCTAGTTTCAGGACCACGTCAAGACTTGCGGCAAGTGCCGGGTCCCTTGCAGGTTCCATGCCGTCGGCTGCCCTGAGATGGTGAGTCTGAGGGTCTGCCGTGGAGGCTTGCTAGGCGCTGGGTGGGCTGTACCCTCGTCCTGAACGTGCTGCTCACTCAGTCTCCAGCCCCTGCTCCTCCCTGTTTCCTTCCAGCCTCCCTGACTGCCTCTCCTCGGTCTCCATCCCAGCACCCCCTCCTCCCGCCCTCGGGTGTCCCAGGCCCAGTCCCCAGGCAGCTCTGTCCACTCTTGTCCTCTTGATAATCTGGTAGTGCCCCTGGCTTTGACCACCACCTGTCTCTGAGAACGCCCAAATGAGTGCAGCTAACTGCCGCCTCAAACCTCTCTGCATGTCTAGTGGACGTCTCAGACTTACCATGGCTGGCATACCTTGACCACTTGTCTGCCCACTGTCCCTGTGCCCCCATCCTCCTGTCTTGCCCACAAAAGGACACCACCATGACCCAGTTGTGCCAGCCAAAGCTCCGAGCACCCGGCAGTTATTTGGGTCCTTGCCTGTGTCTCACACGTCACATCCAATCTTACAGAGAACCTTGCCTGCCTTAGATGGATCCTGGTTCCCCACCAACACCTCCCCCATTTCCAGTCACTGCTCCTGCACGTCACCCTCATCTCTCACCTGGACACAGGCCGCGGGTGCCTGATGAGCTTCTCCCGTCCACTGCTGCCTACTCTGATGTGTTTACATGGAAATCAGATCATGACACTTTCTTGCTTAAAATCCTTCTGTGGCTTCCCATCTTCACACCTGGACGGTGACTCAGAGTCCTCTTTGTGGCCTCTGATCTCACCTCTGCCCTGTCACTGCCCTCAGTCTCCTCCCGTCTAGAGCTGCATGACTGCCAGATTCCCGTGCATAGACCCCCCCGCCCTGGCCTGCTCTGTTGTCACCTGTCACACATGCCCATGTCTGTTTCTTGTCCATCTTTTCCTGCACAATGGGAGCCTTGTGATCAGGACTCTGTTGTGTCCCCTTGAGTGTTGCTGGGCTAGAGGTAGCCCTGGCCAAGGTGGGTATGTGGTAGATGGAGGGAAGCAAGCAGAGTGTGCAGACCCTCCCCTGGGCAGCTGGGGACCGGGCATCCCGCCAGTCTGACCTGCCTGCGCCATGAAGACAGGGACAGTTCACAGCATGTGTAATGTTGGCCGTCGAGGTGGTGGTCTTTTTTTTTCCCTGTGTATGTGTATTTATTGCTTTGTTTTTATTTTTGTTTGTTTTTTTTGGTAGCTGATTGGTACAGGGATCCAAACCTTTGACCGTGGTGTTATAATCCCTCTGTATCCAACTGAGCTAACTGGCCAGCCCGAGGTGATGGTCCTGTTTGGTGACTTGATTATATATAACCTTACATGCTTGGCTTTTTTGTTTTTCTAATGCCAGTGAAAAGGCCAGTCGTTGCCTCCTTTTTCTCCATCTGTGCTGGACAGTCTCCTGCTTTCTGTGGTATGGTTCTGGTCCACTTCCTGCTCAGATGTGGCATCCACCATCCCCAGGGAGCCCAGTTCTTTGAAGGAAGTGGTTTTAGAGACCACTGCTGGGGCCCCAGGGCACTTACTACGACTGCCATGGTCCTTGCCATGGGCCTTTTCGGTGGTCAGAGATAAGAAAGTACATTGTGAGTTTACGGCAATGCATCCCACTCAGATGAAGGACTAGGGTTTGTGCTGACCTCATTGAACCTTACTGGGTCTCCCCCATGCTTGCAGACGTGCACCAGGCTCAGCCATAACGTTATAGTCCCTGCAACTCCCCAAGGAGGACCGAGAAGCATCCTCTTGTCTAGTTCTTGACTTCCCAGCGCCCCTCTGCTCTCTGGGTGGTTGTGCCTCTAACTAGGTTCACGTTGTTTCTTTTTACTTGTACTTTTTTTGAGAATGTCTTTAACATTTTTTAATTTTGTTGTGGAAGTTTGAAAACTATTTAGTTGCAAAGTGGGTGTGTTTGAGGAAGGTCAGCTTCCACCCTGTCGATCCACCTCCCCCCGTGGGCAACTTTTTTAAAGTGGTGTTTTCTTCCTTTTTATTTTAAATAAAAGCAAGTAAGTTAACTTAGGAAGGTTTACATTTTTGAAACGTAGTTGACTTTCAGACAGTGACACATTTTAGCTGTCATGTAAATGAGAAGGATGAGAATCCTGGACGCGAGCCACCGCCAGCAGTGCTGGGCGTTCTGTGCTCACATGGCCCTGGGTCCCCTCAGTCCAGCTGAGGCCCCTGCCACCATGGGCTTGCCTGTCACAGCCGAGCCCCTGCCCCATATCCACAGGTGGAGAGCGAGAATCAGCAGCAGCACGAGGCGCAGTGGCTGCGGGAGCACCTGGCTCTGCTGCTGAGTTCTGTCCTGCAGGCTACGCCCCTCCCAGGAGGACAGGGCCAGGTGAGCGAAGAGATCCTGCAGAGGTGTGAGACCCTGGAGAGGAAGACAGCCACCTTCGAGAATATCGTCTGTGTCCTGAACCGGGAGGTGGAGAGGGTGGCCATGACTGCTGAGGCCTGTGGCCGGCAGCACCGGTTGGACCAAGACAAGATTGAAGCCCTGAGCAACAAGGTCTGTGCCCAGCAGGCAGGCGTTGGGGGCGATGTTCACGCCCCGCAGGTTACAGCGGGCCGTGCAGCTTTAGAGGCTGGACGGCGCAGAACTTGATCCACAAACCCCGCCCAGTACGGTTTCTACATTAGGCTTTGGCTTCCTTCATTTCTCTCGGGGACCCAACTCCAGGAGGTTGTGGAGGTGGGCGGGCTAGGCTGCTTCTCTGAGCTGGGAGGGCAGAGTCAATGATGGGGAGGTGCCCGGCCAGTGCGGCTTCTGAGTGCACTTTCTGGCCCAGAGCCCTGTGTGGATGTGCAGCCTCTCCCTAACCCCCAGGTGGAGTTGGAGGGTCCTATGGGGATGGAGGTCCCTCACTCCCATATGAGGGAAGGGGTCTCGGCACCTGACAGGTGCAGCAGCTGGAGAGGAGCATCGGCCTCAAGGACCTGGCAGTGGCCGCCCTTGAGCAGAAGGTCCTCGAGATGGAGGCGTCCACCTATGATGGGGTCTTCATCTGGAAGATCTCAGACTTTGCCAGGAAGCGCCAGGAGGCCGTGGCTGGCCGCACACCCGCCATCTTCTCCCCAGGTGTGCTGCTGGGTGCCCGGGGTCCCCTCACCTGGGGCCACATGGAAGGGACTCTGAGGGCCGGGCTGGGTGCGTCCCTGGCTAACACCAGGAGCGTTTACTATTCCCTGAGGAGGAGTCTGGAGGCTGAGGCACAGCTGGTGTGTCCCCCTCTGGCAGGAGTTGTTGGGTACCTGGCTGGCTTCCCCCCAGGTACCAGCTCTCAGTGTGCTCCTGTCACTGGGCACACAGCCCTTCACTGTGGTGGGACCCAGCCATGGACAGACAGAGGACAAAGTGCGGGGCTGGGGAGGCTGGTGGAGGACAGGAGGAGGGCAGGTGCTAGGCAGGAGATGGGTGCTCAGGGTGTCGGGGTCGGGGTCTGGGCTAGTCTGACCCTCCGCGGTTCCGTTTTGGCATCTGCTGCATACAGGAGACCTGTGGGGGGCTTCTCTTCACCCCAGCTCACAGGGCCTCTGGAAGGCAATGCCAGACAGGGAGCGAGGGAAGGGTTCCCGGCCAGACCTCGCCTTTCAGTGCTCCACTGCGGCTGCTTCTGCAGCGCTTCCAGAGGTGGTCCCCTCCTGCACGGCCTTGCTGAGCTCCTGCGGCCGTCTTTGGCCCTGGTCAGGCTCGTCTTGCTGCTCAGTTGCTTGCTTCGCAGACTCAGCAGCGCCGGTCAGGACGTGCCGTTGCGTGCCATCTGTTCTCATGTTCACTTGGTGAACCTACTACTGAAACCACAGGTTTAGGAGTGAGGCTGAGATGTTGTAGACTCCTGGTCTTTGAATTTAACTTGGCACTGCTGGTACAAGTCCCTGAGTGCTGGGGGTTGCGGTGCTCCCATGCCTCCCACGGAGGGGCCACTCTCCTATTTGGCCCATCCTGACAGTGCCTTCAACAAGGGCCAGAAATGGACAAAAATCACACACTCTGTCTTCTCTGAGTTGAAATGATAAAAATGAAAGTTTGTTTTAGGTCTAAATGCGAGGGAACACCCCAGGCAGCCTGCAGGGCCTGGCACCACCCTTTCTCACCTGGAGGCAGGTTAACGCTTCTTTCTGGAGGCATCCTTCCCTTTGCAGACGTTTTGTTCAGCTGAAATGTACCTGCTATGATTAGGGTTCTTGGGAGTTCCCACAGTGAGAGCAGGTGAAAGGTCAGCATTGGTGGAGGCTGCCTCAGTGACGGTTTTTGTGGGAGCCATGCTGGAGCAAGAGGCTCTGTCTTAAGTTGTCTGCTTCGGTGCTGCTGGTGAGCTCGGCTCCAGTACTAGGCGAGGCTGTGGGAAGATGAGAAGGAGGCTCTAGACACAGTGCTCAGAGCCCTGCTGTGGAGGCTCCACTCCCACAAGTGGGCAGGGTGAAAGTTGATGTTGATGCAGTGAAAGCCGCCAGGATTGCTGTCTGCAGGTTTGCTGTGCACATCTGGCTGCATCTGGCTGTCATTCCTTCCTGTGCACCTTGTTGGGTCTGAGGGATGTCGGCTCTGCCTGTTCTAGATTTCCACCCCAGCTGGTGCCTCTTTCTGTGCCTGCTGGGCATGGACTCCCCTTGCAGCTTTGCCAAGAGCCCCAGCTGCTGGGGTGGGGGGCTCCCCTACAGTACTTCACCGGCCCTTCAAGTTAACAGTTGTTGCGTGCATCACAGGTTTGGGGGTTACATTTAAGGTTCTTAAAAATGTTTCTAATTACTAGTTTTGTTTTATTATTATTTTTAATAAATTTGTTTTCATTAGCAACTAACTCTGCATAGTTTGAGAGAGGAAATCTCTCTTTTTGCTCCCAGAGCCTGAATGTTTCTGTGTGCATGTTTCTGTTTCTTGGGGACAGGCAATCAGGTAGGAAGAGCCCTGCCCTGCCCTTCCCAGGTGTCAGCTCACTGGCGCCTCCCCCTCCTCCCCAGCTTTCTACACGAGCAGGTATGGCTACAAGATGTGTCTGCGCATCTACCTGAATGGTGATGGCACCGGGCGAGGAACACACCTGTCCCTCTTCTTTGTGGTGATGAAAGGCCCGAACGACGCCCTCTTGCGGTGGCCCTTCAACCAGAAGGTGCGAAAGGCTGTCCCTGTGGGCTTCCCTGGGGGAGCACCTGGGAGCCTCTCGGGTCAGTGCAGCTGCAGGTGGCAAGGCTGCCTGGGATAGGTAGCTGAGGCTCACTAGATTCAGGCATCTGCAGCAGGCGTGCCATCCCGAGGCATGTTGGCACTAGAGTGGAGCACCCTGGTGGGTTCTAGTCTGCTCCGGGGTTTCTGAATGCTGGCCACGATGTGGGTAGCTGGCTCATGACCCACCAGGGCCAGCAGCTTTGAGGACCCTGCCTCAGAGGGCGTGTTTCAGAGGAAAGAACACACAGAAGCCCTCTATCTACAGGGCAGCTTAGTACAGGCTGAATATTCCTTAACCAAAATGCTTGGGATCAGAAGTGTTGCAAATTTTGGATTTTTTCAGATTTTGGAATATTTGCAGATACTTAATTGGTTGAGCACCCCTAATCTGAAAATTTGAAATCAGAAACGCTCCAGTGAGCATTTCCTTTGAGCATCATGTTGGTGCTCAAAAATTTTCAGAGTTTGGAGCATTTTGGATTTTTGGATTGGGGATGCTCCACTTGTATTTTGAAAAACAGACACCATTTCTGGTTAAAGAATTGAAGATTCTTTGAGCATCATGTTGGTGCTCAAAAATTTTCAGAGTTTGGAGCATTTTGGATTTTTGGATTAGGGATGCTCCACTTGTATTTTGAAAAACAGACACCATTTCTGGTTAAAGAATTGAAGATTAAGAGACTAGGGTGAATGACAGTGGTCTCTTTCATTCACCAGAACAGACGGGCACCCTGCCCCTGCCCCCCACAGCCAGTGGATGTGGGGCATTGGGGGGGGGGGAGGGAGGCACCAGGGACCCTCATCTGTCGCTGTGGTTCCAGGTCCACGGCCCCACAGAGGCAGGCAGTCTTGGTTTCCCTCTGAAAAGTGCTCTTCTTCAAGGGAGGGTAGTTCATGCTTCACGATCTCTTTGGCAAGAAAATGTCTTTGTCAATAAATATTATTCAGAAAAAATACAAAACAATACAAGTTCAGGATGATAAGCTTTAGACTAAGATCCCAGATGTCAGGGGACAGAAAATGCCACTGTAGGCCTAGACCTCCGGACAAGCTGCACACGCTGTGGCTGCGTGCACAGGAGCCACTGTAGGAGCAAGGCCAGCCGGCTGTGTGGCCTCAGCCCCGCCTCACCGTCTGGTCGGGGTCATAGGGTGGCTCTGTGTGTGGCCACCTGCCAAGGGCTCTCTAGGTGTCTGACCTCAGGAGCTGCAGTGCAGGATGCTTGGATGCCTCACAGACCAGTGTGCTCTCTCTCGGCTCTCCTCCCAGGTGACATTGATGCTGCTTGACCAGAACAACCGGGAGCACGTGATCGATGCCTTCAGACCCGACGTGACCTCGTCCTCTTTCCAGAGGCCAGTGAATGACATGAACATCGCAAGCGGCTGCCCTCTGTTCTGTCCTGTCTCCAAGATGGAGGCCAAGAACTCCTATGTGCGCGACGATGCCATCTTCATCAAGGCCATTGTGGACCTGACAGGGCTCTAGCTGGCTCTGTGAGGAGCCACCACACTGGGCTGGGCCAGGGCCAGGGCCTCACACACAAAGGCAGGCGGGTCTGTGCTTGGGCACAGCCAAGTTCCCCGTCACACCACAGGGGCTGCCAGTCCTCAGATTTCAGAGACTGCGTGGAAGGCCTGGGAGACGGCTCAGCCCATGCACCTCACGGGACTGGCCGTGGATCTTCAGGTGCTTCCCAGGGTGAACCGTCTTCACAGTCTTCTCCGTACACTGAAGGGAGAGGCCCTGGGTGTGCTCAGAGGGGGAGCACATGTTAGCAAGGGGCTTTGGAGCAGCACACATGTAGCAGGAGTGCAGTGGGCAGCCCTGCATCCCTCCGGTGTGGCAGGCAGAAAGCAGGTGGGGGCTCCTGCAGGAGAGGGGGTCACTGCCGGCCGGCCAGGCAGCCACCGAGCAAGGAACCCAGTGCAGCTGGGCTCTGTCCTCTGGTCCCTGGAGAGGAGGGAGTGTTCTTAGACCCCTGGGTGCTTATCTGGACACAGCTCCTGCCTGTGCCAGTTTGGTCAGGTCAGCGGGCAGGAGAGGGTGCTGGCCCCTGCTGCCTCTGCCTCAACCATGGTGTAATGTGCGGGGCACACAGTACAGCTCCCCTGGGTGACTTGTCAGCTGCACCGTCAAGCTGAGGAGGAATTTTTATTAAACCGTACATATCTCTGTGGTGATTGGTGTTCTTTTGCTCCATTTGGCCTGTGGCTTTCAGCTTTGGCAGTGGTGACCCTCTGTGCGACTTACTGGCTGGTTCTCCTCCCATGGACCCCTCCCCACAGGGTGCCCGGCCCCTGCCTGCCTCTCCAGCCAGCTGGGGGCCTCTTTTCCTTAAACACTCTCATCTCTCTCTCTCAGGCTTTGGCAATGCCCAGCATTCCTTCCTCTGGAATGTTCTTCCCTGTCCAGCTCTTGCCCTTTAAAAAAAAAAAAAAAAAAAAAAAAAAAAATTACTAGCCCACTGACTTAGAAAGTCAGAAATAACAACTATCTGGCAGAGATAGAGAAATGAGGGGAGAAATAAAGTGTACCCTAACCTCAAGCCCTCTGCCATTTGGCATGCAACTGCATATTTCAATATTAATATCTTTCTTCAAACCAAAATGGAGTTAAGAGATTCTCAGATTCCCAGATTTAAACACAAGGCTGGTCAGATAACTATTTTGAGGAGGAGAAATCTGGTATCTTTCTGGTATTTTGGAATACCACAGTGACTCTCATTTAATGGCTGTGTGTCTCCCCAGAAACAGCCACAGAGAGATCATTATTCTACAGACTTCAATAATGTTTGAATTCCAGGCTACAGTAGTGAAAGAAAGTGAACCGAGATGCCGGGTACTGTTCAAGCTTTATTAAAGAAAGAGAATTTGCTGGGCTGTGCTCAAAGTAGCAAGCAGCCCGGGGCTTCCCTGAAAATGGGGGACAGCACCAGGCGTGGGGGTGGTAGAGCTTGTATAGTGCACCAAGGGCTGGCTGATACCATCAAGGAGGGGCATTATGCTAATGTGGATTGGGGTGGAGAACTGTGTCCTTGCAGAAGCAAAAGGGGCTTCTGTTTAAGTCAGGAGGCTTCTCGTAAAGGGAAGGGGGAGGGGAGAGGAGGAGGTGGGCGGTGCCAGTTTGTACTTGGGCTTGTCTAAAGTGGTGCTGGTTATGTTGCAGATTTATTATTCCTGCCTTTTAAGTATAGGAAAAAGGGGGAAAGGGTGGAGGTCTCATTCTTCTGAAGCTACTTCCTGCTGGAGATGGGCAAAGATATGGAAAAAATAAAAGATTTATGTTGGTGGGTAAAACAATTAGGTGGCAGGGTACTGGTTTAGTGTGGGGAGGCTGTATTCTTCCAGGGAAGGGTCGCTGGTTCGGAAGGGCTGATGTCCTCCTCGCAGGAACAATTGGCGACCTTTTGGTTGGTGAAAGCCTGTATACATTCCTGCAAGAAATTAGAGAAACACCAAAAGAGGGACCAAAAAGCAGGATGAGGCACAGTTAGGGGTCCTAGTAGGGGCATAGGCCAGGGTACCCAAGGGTCCAGTGAAATGGTTTAAGTTGTCTTGGATCACCCCGGACTCATTTACATAATAACAGCATTCCTCCCCCAAGAAGAGGCAGGTGTCTCCCTTCTCGGCTCTAAGGAAGTCAAGGGCCTGACGATTCTGTAAAGCGACTGTCGCGAGTGAGGTGACCTGTCACTGGAGGGAGATGTTGTCTATACTTAGTTCTTCTGAGAGTTTTTGATAGAATTCAGAGGCAGTAGCAGGGCCCGCTATGCCAGTTCCAGTTGCAGGAAGGACCCCTGCCCCAATTAAAAGGGTACAGTTAGTGCCCTATGGGAGTGGGGGGGCACTTCCTGAGAGGGGGGGCCAAAGTCCCAGTCCCGCCTCCATCTCCATCTGTCTGGAGGGTGATGTCAGGGACGAGCCAAACGAATATGCAATAAATCGCATTGGGGGCAGGCAATAGGACACTTGCTGTCCCGGGCTCAGTTTACAGTCTGAGGAGGTGGTGGGGAAAGGATGATGTATAGAAGGTTGGCCTGTTCCCTAAGAAGATCCCTAATGAGTGAAAGAGTAGGGAGATACTGACTGGCCTAAAGGCAATGAGCTGCAAGGGACAGGTGTGAGAGTGAAGTGTCTACTGTACATAAGTTCGAGGGGGCTGAGGCCTGTGGACTTGCGGGGGCAGCCCGTAGGCGAGTGAGTGACTGGTGGGGAGGCCAAAACGAGGGATGATTCTGAGGTGAGAGCATGCGTCACTGCTGTAGCATCCTCTGAAGTGCAGGGAAAAGCCTCAAACCAACCTGGAAAGGTATCTACTAAGGTTAGAAGATAGCGTGTCTTTTTGTGGGGAGAGTAATATAAGGGCTGAAGAAGGTGTAGTAGGGGTTCATAGCCTATATGAACTGAATTATGGAAATCTAAAAGGATTTGCTCAGCTTGTATAGTAGGGAGGACATAGCGACTGGAGAAAGTATACCAGTTGTCCTTTCTCTGTGCCCCCAACTGTTGGAGGTGTTGTATTTCTTGGGGTGCGTATTGGGATAAGGGTGTAGGAGCCACGAGAAGGACCTGAGCAGGAGAGGAAGAGTGGGGGCCTGGTGACTGGGCAGCCTATTTTGCAGTTAGATCTGCCAGTTTGTTTCCCTGGGCTATGGGGTCATTGGAGGTTTGGGGTCCTCTGTAACTCCTTTGGGTGTTGTGCAGCCTCAATAGCTTGTGTTAGATTTACTGTGGCATAACCTGCCCAGAGGGCGGGCGTGGAAGTTGTGCTCCCATCTATGAACCATGTAATGGGATGTGGGGAGATGTGTGGAAAGGGACTGAGAAAGAGGTGTAAAGCCTCCATGCAATTGTGTTTTAAGTGTCATGAGTGTTTGGGGATGAGAGTGGGTGGCTTTTAAGGGAGGGCAAGGTTTAGAGGAGAACTGGGAGTTTTCAATGAAAGTAAGGTGGATAAGTTGTAGGCAGGAAAGGGAGAGAATTTACTTGGCCTTATGGCTTAGAGGGTCTTGACTGTTTGTTGTTTAAAAGTTAGTTTAGAGCTTTCTTATGCTAAAAGGGCAGATGCTGCCAAGGCCCGTAAACAGGAGCCCATTCTTGAGATGTGGTGTCTAGTTGTTTAGAGAAGTTTGTAACTGGGGAGAAAATATCTCCTGCCTTTTGTCCTAGAACTCTGACTGCCAATCCTTGGGTTTCAGTAACAAATAGGATAAAAGGATGAGACAGGTTTGAGAGCGATAGAGCTGGGGCTGCGAGGAGAGCAGCTTTTAATCACTGGAAGGGAGAATGAATGAGCT